AAAAGAGTGAATTTTCCGATGATCATCAACTAATCAATCACAGTACAACAAATTATTACGAATATATCCACCGATCGTTATTGAAAAACTCCCTTTACAGCCTTTTACATGTATATCCTCTACCGGTTCATCAACTAATCAATCAATGTAACGATAGCCCAGTGTGTTACATAATACATGTAGTATGATTTTTGTCGTATTAATGAATACCGTATAATTTTACATTGTGGTATTATAACAGTTCTTACATTAATAATGGTCATCTTATATGGATTGATCAACTAAAAAAAAATGAGGAAAGAGTTTATTTTTTATCCGGCTATTTATATTGGTTTAGTGTTTCCTTTGGAGCTGCGTACGTATTTTTCTTTCGAAATAATTTATTGTTACAAGTATTTAAATTAATTATTCATTTCAATAGTACGATATTTATCAATTTCTGGAATAACTTTACCTTTCTCATAGTAAGAATATTTATTTGCACATATTTACTTTCTTTTAAATATATATTTTTAAAAATATATTTATACATAAAAATCTTCAGTTTAATAGCAGCAGGGTGTATCTTCGCATCAACTGGAACTTTCAACGCAGCAATTTATGGATTCACTCGCAACATTATTAGTATAAAATTGTTCACAAAAGTTGAGGAAAACAGTAATAAAGTAGAAATTGATAAAACTCTAACAATTTCAAAACCTATATTACCTTACTTTGTACCACAATTATCTAACGCTAATAACCGATATCACGATTCTGATTCGTCTTTCGAGGATGAAATTATGTGGTGGTATTAGTGAAAAATTCCCTGTTTTTTGAATTCAATTTTATGTAAAAAATAATAAAAACATAAATGCATCAATATTCGATAACGGATGGCTGATAATCTGCGATACACGTTTGTGGCTTGATTCACTCGAAAGTGAAGGTCAATAACAAATCAAATGTTGATGTCTAGCTTCTCTATTCCTAATGTTGAAAATTTTTTGAGAGATTATTAGGTAGGGTTTCTCATATAATTTAAGAATGAAAATTTTAATTTTACTATGACCGTTACGTTACGTATTCGCGATCACATGCAATCATATCGAAAAAAGTCAATGCAAAAATCAGGAAGAAGGTATATTCATTTTTTTTCAACATAGATTTTATTAATATATTAAGCAAGATTTATATATAGATTTTTATATTTTAATTTTTTTACTTTATATACAGTATTTATGAATCTGAATGGCTTGAAAGATTGAACATGAATCTGAATTGCTTGAAAGATTGAACTAAAATTAAAATCAATGAAAGAAATATTTTTTTATTTCGTGGTCATTTGTCTCTCGCCAACGAAGAAGGTAGAAGCAGATGTAGTGAGTTTTTCATGTTTGCTAAGATGATTTTAGAGATGTGTTTGATTGAATTTTCGGGATATTGTTCTTGTGTTATATTTATTGTGCTCACGTTGTAAACATCGCTATAGGTTTTGTGCTCGGTTCAATTCGTTAATTCGATAAACTCGGTTCGTATTTCTATTATATTAATGCGCCATGAAATTTGATATTCTAAAAGTAATGGAATAAAGGATTGTTTGATTTGGGTTTTATAGACAAGCATAACGATAAGTCACATTCTGCATAATCGGATTCAAATAACAATGTCATGTATAACAATAGTCAACATGATGTGATGTTTACAGAATAAAAACACAAAGTCTACACAGCATGATCTAGTTAGGAAGAAAGAACACTGATATTTTCGCAAACACAAAGTCTACACTGCATACTGCATAACTTAGGAATAAAGTACACAGCCTGTTCTCATTAGGAAACCAATCCATATGATATTGTATCACTGACTTTCTTATATATATCGATATCGATATTAATAAAATATATCGTTAAAGATTTTTGTAAAAATGGATTTTGTCTCTAAATTTTTAAATGAATTCGAAAGTACTCCAACCCATGAGGATATTTGCAAAGAATTATTCAATGAATTCGAAATTAATTCAACGAATGAACCACGAAGAGAAATATTCAAGTATCTAAAAAATTGTTACAAGAGCTTAATAATGTTCATGATTATCAAATATTCAGCTTTATAAACATAACGATAGACATCAACTTTCTCGATTTAAATAACTATATCAATTTTTTTAAGAATAACTCAGATAATTTTAAGTTATTTTTAAAACTCATAAAAGCACACTTAAGACAATCATTATTAGATCAAGCAAGTATTATTCTTTCAGAAAAAAATGGAACAATCGAACAAAGTGTTATAGAAGAAAATTTAGTTGAAGGTCGAAATCATTCTCGGGCGTATATGAAAGAACTGCTTGAAGATAAAACTTACCAATATTACACACGACTAGAATCGCATTTATATCGATTTTTAGTAATTGAAGAAGATATTATAAATAAACTTAGAAAAATGAATAATAACACCATCATCACGCCCACGCCCCAAAACACCATCGACACCTCCACTCCCACTCCCATCCCTATCACCATCACGCCCACGCCCGAAAGCAGAAAAAGACCAATCGAAGAAGATGAAGAGATTGATAAGAAGAAAAAAAGGAGAGAAAAACACCATCAACACTCCCACTCCCACCACCAGCACTCCCTCATTTCCACCGAAGTTGGAAAGAGAATGAAGGTCGACAACACCATTCCCACTCGTACCAACACTCCCACCATCACACCCACCACCACCACTCCCACTTACACCAACACTCCTATCAGCACCGCCACCAACATTCCCAACATCACAACCACCACCACCACCACCACTACCAACACCACCACCACCACCACCAGAAAGAGTACTCGTAAAGCTGCAATAGATGCTCAAGCTAAAATATCGAAGCACTTTGTAACTCGATCAAGAAAGAGTAAAAAATAAGGAACAATTCTTTTTCGAACTGTTGACCAAATTCAGTTTCATGAATTCATAACTTGGCAAAGCAGATGGTGCTTTGAAACCTTTACGATCTTTTGGCTTTCGTTTTTCTTGGTGTGGATGTGTTTGGACCAATTGGGATTAAAAATTTGCAGAACTCGATATTGTTAGATTTACACGCGTCTTTCTGAAAAAGGTTGACTATTAGTGAGGTAAGATGTGTATTGACTTTTTTGGCAAATTTATAATAAATTATTTTATCGTTATGATGAAAAAAGGGCATGCGAGTATTTGGATGAGGGTAAGTATTGAAGGTAAGTATTTTGTTATTTTTCTTTTGTTTGGCTTGAAAGAATTATCATTAGGGCAGCCCGATATGATTTTGGAGCTATAATCAAGTTCACAGATCATATCGGGAAACCCTAATTCATTCCCCCACATAAACGGCAACGGTAAGAAAAAATGTCACTTATATTCATTTATACATGTATGCTAATTCATTCTTCTTTTTTTTTTATTTAGTATACTACTTGATACGGTATTTTAGTATTTTAACGTATAATGATAAAATTATTTATTATAAGTTTACTGAAAAAGTCTATGCATTTCTTATCTCACTAATAGAATACCTAGTTTTTTTTTCAAAAAGGCACGTGCAAAATCGACAATATCACTCGCAAATTTTTAATACTAATTGTGGAAGAACATGTTTTAATACCTTGATTAACTTGAATCAAAAGTTGAGGGAAGGCCTTAGCATCAGTTCGCTGCATTTTGTGAAGAATTTGTTGATAGAGTTTACAGCAGTTCACAAAAAGAACAGAAACTATTTTTTATTCATCACTTCTTTCATCTGGTTGGTTGGTTGGTGACTATTTTAATTTTTCTCTTCTGGTTGGTTGGATTCTTTATTTTCCTTATTTTTTTATTATTTTTTTATTTTTTCTTTATTTTCTTTAATTTATTCATAGTAAATATAGTATATATATGTATATTGATTATTTACATATTAAAATTATATTATATGTAAATTTATTAAATTCGCTTTGACAAACTGAAGTTACTTTTTATTGTTTCACGAAGAATGGGAATTTTATGTGGACATGGCTTTGTCTATACGAAAATTTTGTAAGATTTGATATCTCAAAAAATCAATATCATTATTATTCAGCTTATCAAAACATTTCCTGAGCAAAGAATTCAAATGCAATAAGAAAAAAATCACAAAAAAATTAAAATAAAAAGTAATATTTATTAAAAAAAATTAAAATAAAAAGTAATATTTATTAAAAAGATTAAAATAATTATAGCCTGATATGTTACTATGGTAATAATAGTAATAAAAATAAATATATGATATAAAAACTATGGTAATAATAGTAATAAAAATAAATATATGATATAAAAATAAGAATATTTATAAATAAATAAAAATTATAATTTCACATATCAAGAAAAGACTATAGAATTAAAAAATTTTATGTTACTATAGTAATAATATTTACAGATTAAAATATCTATCTATATTAGTTTTTTTAGTAATTTACATTATATTTAGAAAAGTTTTATTAGTAAATATTTATATTTATTTTCTAATTTCAGATTTGATTCTAATTTTATAATCTTTTAAATATATATTATTAGAATCTACTTTATGAAGTAGATTAATAAATTTATTTATATATTTATTTATTTTAAATAATTTAATAAGTTCAATAAAATATTATTATAAGTTAGTTATTGAAAGCAAAGATAAATCTATATCTTTTTTACTTTTAAATAATATATTAATCAGTAAATTTGATGTAATATTCATGAATTTATAATAAATTTAGTAAATTTGATGTAATATTCATGAATTTATAATAAATTTAGTATAGTTAAGTTTTTTATCACACACTGTATATTATTAGAATGTTTATTAAAAGTATTAAAGCACAAATTTAAATTTTTAGTATTATTTTTTTAGAATTTATGAATTCGATATCTGAATTTTAGATATTATATTAAATTTATTTATATTTGATTTATATTTATATATATTGATTTATCATATTAAATTTATTTATATTTGATTTATATTTATATATATTGATTTATCATTATGACAAAAATTCTAATATTAAAAAATGACAAAAAAAATATACTATAATCTATATGAATTAATAATTATTATTCATAATTAAATATAATAGTATCATTTTTTATTAAAATAATTAATAACTAATATAGTTTTATTTACATATTTATCAGATTTTTTGTGATTGAGAATTATGTGATTAAAGATCAATAATGCAAGTGATATATTATTTTTACATACTATCGCATATAATTTTTATTATATTACTTGTAATTTCTTGTAGACTATATATATTTTACATATTAATATAGTATTATTGTAACAATTTTGATTGGGTTATCTTCCTTTAGATCTCTTTTAGCTTAGATCTTCATTTTGCGCTATCTGTAT